AAGTATTTGCTATGAAATAAGTGTTATGTGTTTATATATATTATTGTTTATTTGGAGTGACTGTTAGTCCCTTTCATAAACACAATTTTAATACAAGTATGGTCTGAATGTATTAAGTATATGTTTTGGGTGAGTGTGTAGTCACTCTCTTCTAACACATAAATATGAAGTATTTTCTTGAAATACATGCTATGTGTTTATGTACTGTTGTTTATTTGAGATAAGTGTGGAATGGATATTTATATGGTTTTTAAATGAGTTAAATTGTATATGTATTTTATATCTACTAATATGTTGGGTAGAACATGGGTAGATGAGATAGTTGGTATGTGATAAAATGATGAGTTAAATGATGAGGTATGTAAGATGATTAAAGAATAATATTGGTAGATGCACCAATTAAAGAATATCATAATACTAGCAGATGCGCTTAAGAATGATATCGGTAGATGCACCAAATGGAGAATATCATAATACTAGCAGATGTGCTTATGGGATAATCCTGGAAGATGCGATTATAGGATAATGTCGGCAGATACGCCTAAAAGAGAATGTCATAAACCTGGGAGTCGCGCCTCATAGTGTATGACGTAATCCTGGTAGAGGCGCTTAAAGGATGATGTTGGTAGATGCGCCTTATGTAGCAATAGATTTTGTGCCAATTCCTTAGGTCAATCCTTAGGAATGAATGGATGACGGATAATTGAATTCTTAGGGTAAAATCCTAAGAAATAAAGAAGATAATAGGGATGGGTAATTGGGTTGATTTTTTGATGGTTGAATATAATAATTATATTATTGTGGGTTGAAAAACCTATATGCTCACCAGACTCCCAAGCCTGATTCACTCAGTTTTCTTTGTATCACATGTATCAATACGAAGACATATTTCACTGAGAGATTAAAAGAGATGTAAATCATTAGTCTAAATAAATGTAAGTTCTGTTTATGCTTATGTGTCTGTATCGAAACATGACATCCCGAGATTTTGTTATATAATGAAAATACATTTCTTTACAGGAATGCTTTGATAAATTCTTATCATATTTTGTTTTACGAGCATATTCCGCAACTATTTTCTTTAAAAGATTACTCTGGTTTAAAAAACAAAGCATAAACAAATCGGTCTTTTCTGGCCGTGAAATTGGGGATGTCACAATTCTTGTTACTGCAGATGAAGTTGAAGTGATGTTTGAGGATGATTATGTTTCCTTTCCTAATAGAATCCACATCCCATGTTCAAAATGACTACGGATTATCCTCATCCTTGGACGAAATGAATATTGAGGATAAGGATGGTAATCAAGGTAATCAAGCTCAAGGTGATCAAGACGATGATACTAAGGGTGATGAACACTCTGATGATAATGATGATGATGATGATGATAGAAGATCTGAAAGCTCTACCTCGGACACAAGATCCTCGGATGAACAAGTTGTTGATCCTTTCTCTCTCTTAGAATTTTGAGATAATGTTGACAAAGTTAATTCCAAAGTCGATAATGTCAATACCAAGGTCTACTCACTTGACTCAAAAATTGATTTGGTGATCAAATCTCTTTCTGAGATCATAGTAGGAAATCACATGATACTAGTCAAGACTCAGAACAAATCTAATGCGACGTTCCAAGTTCTTATGACCCTTGTTAGGAAGTAATGTGGTTAACAAGCAAAAGTAAAAGCACACAAAGACACAATATTCCAGATGCTCCATGAGAATGCTTTAAACGCTCGAGTCACATTTTACAGATCAAGTTTGTTGCTCCCTCATAATTCAAGAGAGTTAATTGTTAGTGTTCAAGACATTTATGGTTGATGATCGTTGACCTAATTTTGTTACGATTGTCACAATACTCATACTCCTTTTTTGGAGTTCTATTCAAGGTATAATAGGTTGTTAACATAGTCGCACCACAAAAACCGTCACTCAGACCAGAATAGGATAACATGGAATTAACCATTTCCTTTAAATTCTTATTCTTCCTTTTAGCCACACCATTTTTTATGGTGTACAAGGATCTGTGGTTTGATGGAATTAACTATTTCCTTTAAATTAGAATTCTAAACTTGTTGCTTTTCCGGATCCTTAGACTCACTTAGACCAACATCTTTGTTCACTTTGCGAACACGAAAATCCTTCTTGAAATGTTGGTTTGTTATAGTTCCAAAACACCAATTTGGACATTTTGTTGGAAGATTTATCATTTTTTCCTTTATACTTCTCTTTTTCTTTAGATTTGTTAGAATTCTTTGATCCATCACATTCCACCATATTCATAGAAGAAGAGCCAACTTGGTTCTTGACTTTATTATTACTGTCAAGTTCGTGAGTCCTTAAAGACTCTTGAATTATTAAATAACTTCCAATTTGAACTAAATTTAACTCTGCTTTGTTATGTATCAAAGTATGCTAGGTTAAACTCTTTCCAAGAAAGAGGCGGTTTGTTAATGATAACAACCACTAAAATGACTTCATTTATTTTCAGATTATGTTGGGCAAAATGTCTTAGAATCCTTAACAATTCATGGAATTGTTCCATGATAGGACTAGTATCAACCATCTTGTAACTCATGAAGTTACTAACCATAAACTTCTTACTAGAAGCATCTTCTACTACGTACTTGGATTTCAATGAATCCCATAGTTCCTTTGCAGATTTGACATTTTTATAAACATCAATTAGAGAGTCAGACATACCATTAAGAATGTGGCCACGATAGATGTATTCATCGTTCTCTCACTTCGATATCCTCCTAGTTGCTTCCAAGGGTTCATCTTCGACGTATTCAGGCATTGGTGTACTCAGAACATATACTACTTTCAAAGTAACTAGGAGGAAATACATCTTCTTCTACCATCTATGAAAACTCCAACCTCAAACTTCACCAACTTGTCAAACTTTTTGGTCATGTCCTTCATATATTATTCATTCGCCATTGTTACATAATGCTTTAATCTTTGTTAGAAAATGGGGTGATTCAAATGCTTGGAAAATACTGAGAGTCGTGATATCACTTTTAGATTAAAGCATTTCAATGATACACTCAAAAATCTCTAATCTGATAAAAACTTAGTGTATGTGATAAAAAAATAGAGAATGATGGATGTTATTGTCTTGTGTGTACCAAAATTATGACCATAAATGGAATAATAACTCCTACATTTGAAAACTAGCAAAAACTGTCAAAAGGCAGTTTCAAAATGTCATGAAAATGCCACTAAAACGGTTCCATGGAAGGGTTAACGTCAGGGGCTTTTACCCTTAGACCCTGTCATAGGTTGCAGCCCCTTGGACCCTGCTACTAGGGTGCTGTCGCTGTACGGCTGGACCCCCATGGTTCAAAAAATCAAACAAGTATGCACTCTGCACCATGCTTACTTGTTCAAAATTTATCAAGATGCATTGGTCAACAAATTAATCAAAATACACTCAAATAACATTGATAAAACAAATCACCATCATGCAACAAGTGTTAATACTTCATCAGTCTATGTCGGGTTTTTGAAGGTACCCCTTCACCACGAGTCTTGCTTTATACTTCATCTTATTACAATTTGGATCTTTTTTAACTTGTAAACTCATTTTAGTTTAATGGGTCTACCACCTGGTGTAGATCTATCAAGCTACAAGTGCAACTCTATTAGTTACATCCAACTTGACTTCCATTGTCTTCACCCAATTAATCAACATTGTTTGTGATTGCAACCTTAGTATGTTGTGGATTTATCTTCTTGTAAGAACAATAAGGTGTTATTTGTTTTGAAATTGGTTAAATGTCTTTTGTCTTTTTTCATGTTTGCGGAAGAAGGCGTGCACTTGAGAAACCGTCTACTCGTCAGAAGAGAAAAGTGCTCAAAAAATACTTTTATAGAAAAACAAACGAGGCCTAACTCAACACATTCTCTACAGATATTAACTAGGGTACGATACCTCTTTTGCACACCTCACCACGAACTTGATGTAAATTATGTTGCCTATGTGTGTGTGAGTGTGTGTGTGTGTGTGAGAGAGAGAGAGAGAGAGAGAGAGAGAGAGAGAGAGAGAGGGTGGTGTTAGGGAAAGAATTAGTGGTTAGGGAAAGAATTAGGTTGTAATTAAGTAATTAACGAAGGCTTGATGCTTCATTGTTGATGAGAAATTATGTAGGTCCATCCACCATACAACGAATAGATACATATGCACTATACAAATAGATAATACACAAATAAAAGAAACTATCTATCAACCGTTAACACTGATAGTAATCATTTGCTATAAAAAATGGATCGATTGTCATATACTTCAATTTTGTAATGGTCTAAAGAATCTAATTAACGGTTGATATTTTAATTTTTTGTTAGGATTTGGCTTTCTTCACAGTACACACCCGGAAACTGATGCCTTAGCACTCGAGGTGTCATTGTGTCAATATGCCAGGTTTTTAACGTTTAATAATGAATTATTAGCTTCCAAACAACCTTAAAACACATGGGCATCTTAAATTCTTAAATGCATTAAATGAATGCAAGATTTGAGTTCAGTAATTAAACTGCTGGCAGAAAACGAAAGAGCATGACCAATCAATAACAGCAAAGAGGGTTAGTGTTCAAGGTATTAATGAAGCTTCAACAACCTTCGTTCCATTGCAGTTAATACGAATGGCAGAAATAATAATTGGTCTGTGAATTCAAGTGATGCTGTAAAAAACAGCTTTTGGTTCGTAAAGATGGCGATGGGGTTGATAAACATGCGAAAGCATGTTCTTCGTTTAATCTGTCTTGGCTATTTTAGGAAACTGAAGTGTCCACATGGGCAAATCTGACAGAATGAAATTACGACACACTTTATTTTTATAGTGAGGAGCCGAAAGCAACGCCATTACTACCATTGTGGCACTACTGCTCTTAACTTCCCTATACGATCTTTATCAGCATTTGTTGTTTCGAAGGGAACAAGAAATCTATTTGCTACCCACCTCACAATTTCAAGAAAATCTTCGCACTTGTTTTAGTGGTGACTATGGAGTGGAACTGGGAGATTGAAATGCCAAAGAGTTTAGCAATTTCTAGCCATGAAAATGATGATCATCATTATTCTTTTTCGGGTCTGGTGGAAGAAGGTGCAGTTATATCGGGTGAGGCCTTGATTGGGTTGAAGCTAGGTCGTGCATCATCGTGTTCTCCAGTCGTGAAGAGAACTCGAGGGTCATATCAGAGTTCTCATTTGGCACGTTGTCAAGTTGAAGGCTGCAATCTCAACCTTGCTTCAGCTAAAGATTACCATCGTCGGCACAGGATTTGTTCTGATCATTCCAAAAGCCCGAAAGTCGTTGTTGCAGGGATGGAACGTCGGTTTTGCCAGCAATGTAGCAGGCAAGTTTTGCTTTATCTATTATAACCACGTTCAATTCAAATCGTGGGGAAAAAAATTGCCTTTATGTGTCAAAATTAAATGACTTGTTAAAATGGTGTATTAGTGATTGCCATTAATGATTAATCACAACATGCTATCACCAAAATTAATTGGCGTCACAAATATAACCCGGTAAGCACAACTTAATTGGCATCACAAAACGGAGCAGTTTATATGTCACAATAAAATGATTTTACGTCATCAAAAGGATGTAGGTAAATAGCCAAAATCGGTTGTTAACTTTCTAAGTGTTTAAAGACTTTAAATTAAGTCCCAAAATGTTTTGAGAAGAAGTCACACTTAGTGATGGATGTTGACCACAACTTGCGATGATCACTAAATGCGACAAATTCATCCTTCCATGATGGTGATTTTCCGTAACCAACATAACTTCATGGAATAACTAATTTTAATTACCTAATTTAAATCCGTTATGTTTCACAAATAACTTTAGGCAATTAAGATGACTCATTTAGTCGTTAACCACAACTTGTCATCACTAATGCGTCCGTTTATCCATAGCAAAGAATGTACTTATTGAGTTATTTCTCTACAATTTGTTATTTCAAGAGGTAATGTACGACAATTTGATTGATAATTTTGAAGGTTACATGATTTGTCGGAATTTGACGAGAGGAAGCGTAGCTGTCGTAGACGCCTCTCAGCACACAATGCCAGACGAAGGAGGCCACAGTCTGAGGACACGTCATTCAATTCCACAAGTATGTTTAAATTTTGTCCCATGACATGTGAACTCGTTCTCATCTTTTCTAACATTTATTTTTGAGTTCAACAGATAGGAGAGCACATATGAGTTTTCTCGTGAACAGGGGCTCGACCCCATCCCCGAACTCAACTCCACAAAGTTCTTCCAACTTCATTGGTAGAGGCCTTGACGTGATACCCAATGGTACTTTATCAGATCGCTCGTCTTTCCATGGTGTCATGCATAGAAACGTTAATCATGAAGGTATGCAACCTAAATAAATCTTCACCAAAACTATTAAATCTTCTCATATTAAATTCTCAGGTTTAGTCAGAAAACGAATAATGTAATCTCTCTCTCTCTCTCTCTCTCTCTCTCTCTCCAACGAGAGCTTTTATTCATCGGGTCGGCGAGACGGATCAACCCGAAGACGCATGCGTTTATGAAGAATCCAATAAGGGAGCCTTAGTCATTCACCTATGCAACATCTACAACTTCATCCTTTCTTCTTTCAACTTCGTTCACTTTACTCTTGAGCGCATTAGCCCAGCTTCAAGCCTAAACTTGTTTAGCCCATTATTGCACACAGGTCCAATACGAAATATGTAACATGTTCCTATATTATATAACCAACTAGAACAAGTTAGATTCTTTTATTTTATGTCCATTTCAAAATAAGATTGAACTGATACATGATTTCAATATAGGAAAAAAAAAATATGATATTGAACCATGTTTAGCTCTAATTTTTATTTTTATTTTTGCTAATTTATACAGGTTTAGAATCAAATTCTAACATGATTTACACAATGGAAGCTCAACATGCTTACTCTCTTCAGACTACAACTTCTTGGGGATTTAATGGCCCCGGTGAACCTTCAAGTTTTGATCAATTTATACATGGAAACAACATCGACTTGACACAAACTGAGATGCCACTCGAGCTTCAGAATAGCTGCAACGATCAAATACCACATCATAATTTCGACTACTTTTCTTCGGATTAAGCTTGTTTATTTTTAGTTCATGAGAAGCGTTTCTCAGGGAGGATTTTGGATGTTAAGGTCGTTAAGTTGGTGTTAGATTCAAAATCATAATAACGTCAGGTTTTATTAACGGATTAGGGTTGTTATAAAATATATATGTGTATGTAATATGTGTGAAGGGGTTGTAAGTTTTTGTGTGAAGGATTGAATAGTAAACCACATGCTACACCTATTATGATTTTCAAGGTCACGTGAGATATGGATCTTCATAGGTGCATAACTTAGTTGAAGGGCTTTTTGAGAACTAGTTTTCGGTTTAGTTTGGTCCAAACCAGTTTGTTATATTTAGATTTAAAATGATGTTGTTTTAGGTTTTTTTTTTTATCTAAATAAGAAAATGTAAGAACTTTGTTGATAATAGCGGTTTAGACAAAAAAAGAAAAAGAAAAAAAGTCTAAGTAACTGAATCGCTTAAAGATTGCATTATACCAACTAGAATATAAATACAAGAGTAGAACCGAATATATTATATTTGGAAAAAGAGATCGAGAAAAAATCTAAAAGATAATTCAAATATATTATATCTAATAGTCCCCCACGGTTTGAGAAGTAATCATACAAAATGCATAGATTGAACTTGAATATGATGAAAAGGTGTCGAGTAAGTCCATTGCTAAAAATATTAGCACATAGGTAGTCAACACGAACATGAAGGAATCGAACATAAATGAAGCATGTTTTCTCTAACAAAGTGTATGTCAATTTTATGTGTTTCATATAATGATTTTGAACTAAGTTTTCATAGAGGTAACTAGCTGAAATATTATCACATTATATATTAGCATGGCTTGGCGACTAGGAACCAATAGCTTAAGGAGAGGATTTTGAAGCCAACTTATTTCATGTTTTCAACAATGACATTTACAACACACTGGTATTCAATCTCAACACTAGAGCATGAAATTATCAGTTGGCACTTTGATGACAAGAAGAGTAGGTATTTTTCTAAAAATATGAGTAGATTGAAGTTGAACAATGTGATTCAGGGAATCCCCAATCAGCATCAGAATATACGGTGAGCATTGTTGATTGTGAAGGAGTTATATGTAAACTATGGTAAATGGTGTATTTAAGGTACCTAAGAATATGTTGATCACGAAACTTATAGGACACTATAAGTGAGGCCAGGACGACTGAATGTGAGTTATTGTAGGGGACCTTGAAAGATTTTGGTAATGAGTATGAATGGGTAGTGGGTCCCATCTATTATATTGAGTTTGGAGGCAATGTTAACATGTGTAGCATTGGGCTTATAATTTTTCATATTAGCTTGTGCAAGAATGTATGCGACATAAGATTCTTGGGACAAAAAGAGCAAGTATTGCTGGTGTTTGTGTAATGATCCAGTTTCAAGTACTCTTCAAAATTAGACCTTTTTTTATAAAGATTTCATTTTGGTCCATGTTACGTTGGGCGCAACATGGAGTACGTTGGGCGTATTCCCTTAAATGAATCATGGGTGTTTGTGGCATCCACTGAGCATACCCATGCATACGTCGGGCGTACGTACGCATACCACAAACCCTAATTTGTAGCGTTTGACCCATATTTAAATGTCGTTATTAGCCTTGAGGTTTCCCCCTCATCAGCCCCATTTCCTCTAAAGACTCCCCACGAAACTCTAGCCATTCCTTGTGTATTTTGAGCTTTGGAAGTGAACTTTTGGTGCTTTTGGTGTATGGTGAAGAAGTAGGAGCTTGGTGATCAATCATTGGTTGGAGTGAAGCTTAAAGATCCATAATCTTACTTGTCTTGGCAAGGCTCAGAAGGTATAAAGTTACAACCTTGATGATTTATCTTCTTAATCTAGCTAGTATAGAGATTTTGGGTTATTTTGGTCCCTTGAGTAGTTTATTGTGACTATAAGCTAATCCAGGAGCTTAGGATGGTAGATCTTAGTGTTTCCGAGGTCCTTTAAGCATAAAAATGGTAGCTTTATTGGTTTAGCTCAACCGTGCAAAGGTTGATGCTCACTTCATGAAGTTAGAGTGTTAAAATTGGGTTTGGGGGCTTATTAAGCCATGCACAAGCATAAATCTTCCGAATTTATGGATTAAGACCTTATTTTGGAGTACATCTGAAGTTTGGACGAAAGGGTCTTAACAGATTAATCCATCTTTATGGGGTTTGGGTTTCAAGCCAGTACGTCAGGCGTACTTGTATGTATGCTTAACGTACTGGGTTCGAACCATATCTTCTAATTGGTGCGCGTTCATGGGGCGTACAAGTTAGGCACACTCGGTGTGCTCCCAACTGAGGGCTAATGGGTTTTGGGCCATTTTCGGGTTCTGGTACTTTTTGGGCTTGGGTCATGGTGTCTGGGCCGATTAAAGAAAAGGGTAAAATAGCCCTTTTTCCCTAAGGATCAGGTTTTATGAATTAGGTTCCTGGTTATGGTATATTGTGACATCCCCATTTTCACGGCCAGAAAAGACCGATTTTGTTTATGCTTTATAAAAGTCAGAGTACCTCTTTTAATAAAAATGTTGTGGAATTTGTTCCCAGTAAAACTTGATAAATACGTTATCAAAGCAATTCCGAAGAAAAATATTTTTATTCATTTTAAAACATTTGGGATGTCATCGTCAATACAGAAACATAAGCATAAACAGAACTTACATTCATTATCACTAGTGATTTATATCTCATTAATCTCTCAGTATAATCTGACTTCATAGCAACACCTGTGATATAAATAAACTGAGTGGGTCAGGTTGAAAAACCTGGTGAATACATAGGGTTTTCAACCCACAATAAATTAGTTTATTAACTTTATCAAACCAAACAAACCCGATTACCCGTTCGTGTTATCATCACTTTACATCTCTAAAACATCTAATACAAGGGACCTAGTGTAAGGACTTCCATCGGGGTGACAACGCATGCTTCGGAGGTTCCTCAGCAATTCATGTCAAATAAGGAAACCATGTGGGGGATGGAGTACTGCTGATGAACACACAGGTCAAATAAACACATACAGGTTGCGAGTCCACTAGTATTCCACTGGACTGTCTAGAATTGTCCGTGGTCGTCATCTATACTCCGCTAGATGATTGGATCATCAATAACATCTATATCGAGGCCTCGCATTATTTTATTTGGTCACACAACAACTATTACATCTACCCATGTTTTACCCAACACATTTTGTAGATATAAAATACATATACAATTTAAATCATTTAAAATGTGTATAAAAAGATTTCACCCAGCATAGACAACAAGTATTCAGACAATATGCACACATAGCACGTAATTTATATTAAATACTTCATATCTATGTGTAAGATGAAAGGGACCATGCACTCACTTGATAAGGTGGTGACTCGGTACTCGGACAATGCTTCGTTTATTGTAAAATAATTTCCTTTGACGAAACCTAGTATTATTACAACTAGAGTTTAGTGTATTATTCGCCGAGACTAATTAATAGTCTAGCTATTATTAATATTATATAAGTGTTAAAAAATACTTATATAACCCATAATAATAGCCCAAGTACTTATTATAAGTTCCTAATAATGTTACTATAATTAAATAAAAGCTATATTAAAAATAGCATAGGCATAGCTCACTTACAGCGGGTTTTATAGAAAACCGGGCTTTGCTTGGAGCAGCTTTCCCGAGCCAAATAGCTTTTCTTCTCGGAGCTGTCGAGCACTCCGAGGCTTCCACCTCGTGTTAGGGAGGTTCCCTAGGCTTTTCGGAGGGTTTCGGGGATAAATAGAGGTTCTAGAGAGAGAGTAAAGAGAAGAAAGAATGGGAAAAGTGTGAAGAAAATGAGGGTGGGAGAGGTTCTATTTATAGTGTGAAAAATGGCTAAACTTGGTGCCACATGTCACCATCTAGTGGCAAGACTTGGGGAGAAAGCAATGGCCAAGATTATGCCACATCACCCATTTTCGCACAGTGTGACAACCCGAAATTTCCATTATGTACGAACTTTATCAAGTCAATAGAAGTTATAACAGTCATAGTAAATTTTCAGACTTTTCCGTATAAGTTTGAGTATTTCGGGATTTGCACTTAAGGAGATATCAAGAGAGTGGATGCACTAGGGTTTTGTGCAACACTGTTATTCCAAAACTCTATTATATTAGAGTTCATTACGGGAATAAAATATTCTCTGCCAAAAATCTCAGGACTATGTATAGAATTTTGAGCCATATTTATTCATTATTGACATTTCCAACCAGAGAAAAGCCATTTATCATTCACGGATCTTCGGGTTTTCATCCCAAATCGTGAGTACCTTTCTTTAGTTGTATTATATGGCTTATAATGTGCGTAATAACATCAATTTCATAACAAAACAACTAGATTCGGGAGTTTACCGCACAAGAACACCTTGGAGAGTAAACTCCTAAATTGATGCCTAGTCCCTTCCCCTTGATATGTAACCAACTTAGGCTTGTACATTAGTGTAAATAAGCCTTGAAATTGTCCCTGAAACACCAAGAGTAAGGTGTTCACGGCCCAAGAAGTTCTTGGACCGTGAACTCCAAAGTCAAGGCCAAAGAGTGCATTTTAACACCCCTAAAGCTTTGGACAATTACCTAGATTTACTCCTAGTTAATTTAAGCTCTTTAAAACATCAAAAACCCCTCCCAAAGTGAGATTACGGCCCTAATGTGGTTCATGAGCAGTGAACATCAATCAAGGACACCAATATGTGCCTGAGGCCTTCATTAGCCTTATGTAATTGGCTAGAACCTATCCTACACGAGCTTGGGACTTGAAAGCATAAAAACACCCCTTCCATGTGAGTTTACGGCAGTAAACTCCAAAGGAATTGGCCTTGGGGCCGTAAACTCCTCAAAGGAGGTTATTAGTGCCCTAAACCCTTCCAAGAATTAATCTACCAAGTTGGAATGCTTCTAGGGATCATTTAGAACATCAAAACACAAAATAACACCAAGCTTGGGAGTTCACGGACGTAAACTCAAGGGTTTACGACCGTA